ATGTTGGCTTTGTGGTTGTAAATTTCTTTAGTCCATGTTTATTATGGAAAATTTCCTTTTTTAAATTATGAAGTATATCTTGGGCTCATAATTGACAGATACATTAATCCATCTTGGCAGATAGACAATGCCTTTTTAGAGCTTGCAGTACATCAATCCATACATCCAGGATTTTAGGGACTAAAAAACCTGCTTCTAGTTAGGTGATACTACCTTTGTATGTGACTTGTGGATTTGCTCTTGAATATTTTAGTTCCACCCCTCCCCTGCTTTTTTTCTGTATATGTAGCATTTTGATTGTAATAGAACAAAGAAAAGTTTTGTTTGTTTTTTCTGATCCTATTTGTCTGAAATTCTAAATGTGTGCTCTTCGATTTTTTGAGCCATCTACCTGATTTTGAATTTTTCACCTTAAATTTCATTTAACTATATTTATATCTAATTCTATCTAACTTAGTTTTGTTGTATGAACATACATACAAGGAATTTATTTTTTTGCTTGGAATTTTAAAAATTACCCATATTAATTCAATCTTCAGTTTGAGGTCTTTCTTGCCTCTCACTGTAGCTGCTGTTCTATACAATCAAATTACATGGTCATACAACTTTATATGATATTCAATACCTCTGAATATAAAGGACTAACTGATGAGCCAACTCCAACTGGTTCATGAGCTTATTAAAAAAATAAAAATTTCAATTGTCAATTTTGTTAGTAATAACTCTTGAGGAATATAATAACAAGAGTGTAGTTTATGCACTAAGACATTAATTACCAAATGTGGAAATAGGAAGAAAATAAACAGTTTGAAACTAGTAGTAACTATTCAATTAATGAAGGACAATAGCCAAGGGAACTGAGAAGTCAGGAAACAATACAGTTCCAGATAAAGTTAGAGTAAGAAACAAAAATGAAAATAGGTATAATTGGAAGACAGAGAATTCAAGCTGATCCTGACCTGAAAATATCCTCTGTAGTCACTAGCATTTATAGTGCTCGAAGGTGCTTTTGGGGTTGATGAAGGTTAAAAGCCATCAACAATTCCAAACACCTGTGAACTCTGAAACCCAAAATAATGGTCTGGCAATATAAGTTCATTATTTAATAGTGTCATTGTGTTATGGAGGTTACAACATCTTTATAATAGGATTTAAAAGCCAATCTGTGGAGAGAACTCATCATTCTTGGTTATATAAACTTGGATAAGAAACTCTGTCATGGGAGGTCACAAACCCTACTATTGTTATTTTTTTCTAAAGTGATGTAATATCAAGCTGCCTTTTTAAATATTTATCCTTGTGTCAGTGCATTATGCAGGTAGGTTATGCTGAAATTCATATCACAACTGGACAAAGGAAATAGTAGAAAAGTAAGAAGTGTTTCTCACTAAATGTGAAATTTCTATCACATTTCTTCTCCCTTCACCCAAGTTTCAGTGAACATGTCTAGATGATGGGGCAGAAAAAAATTATAAAAATGAGAGGCTAGAGAAGATTGCTATAAAACTATGACACCTGGATACAATGAGGTCATTGAACTTCTGAACACACAGTAGTTATGGCTTTTGGCACAAGGCCTTAATAAGATCAAACCAATCAACTCACCAACACAGAGATGGAAGAAGGAAGAGATGAAAGAGATTAGCACCATTTGGAACTGAGGAGATATTGGTAGACGATAGCCTCTAGACAGGAAGAGTCATTTCTTTTCTTCAGTGTGGTCCATGGTGGGTTTCTCATGTTCCAGTAGATGGCACTCTATAGCCATGTACATAAAGTGAGCATTAATTGGACTAAATGGGTTATAATAATTAAAACAAACAGAGGACTTTAGAAACTTCCAGGACTCAATGAGGTTGACCTTATCTGAAATGCTCAACAGTGAGAAGATGAAACTTGAAGAAACTACCTTCAGTAGTGAAACAAGACCCCAGTGGAGGGATGGGGTCTTCAATCCACCTTCACATTCTTTAGCCCAGAATTCTTCCTGTCTAAAGGAAATACAGGGACAAAATAGAGCAGAGATTGAAGGAAAGGTCAACCAGTGACTGGTCCAACTTGAAATCTATCCCATGTGTGGGCACCAAACCCTGACACTATTACTACTGATGCCATATTGTGCTTGCAGACAGGAGCCTAGCATGGCTGTCCTCTGAAAGGCCCTACAAGCAGCTGACTGAGACACATGTAGATACTTACATCTAACTATTGGACTGAAGTTGGCAGCCCCTATGGAAAAGTTAAGGGCAAGATTGAAGGAGCTCAAAAGAATGGCAATCCTAAAGGAAGACCTACAGTGTCAACTAACCTAGACCCCTCTAAGTTCCTAGAGACTAAACTACCAACTAAAGAGCGCACACAATCTGGTCTGAGGCTTTACAGAGTAAAAGCCTTTCTGAAAGGTAAAGAAATCAAACAAAACAAGGGGGAGAGAGAGAGAGAGAGAGAGAGAGAGAGAGACTTAAGCTAAATCTTGTAGAAATAAATAATTAAATAAATCTTGGCAATAATTTCCATGTTACCTGCCTCCAATGTTCTGGGTTCCCAAATGAAAGACACATGCACAACCTTTATATTTTGATATGCTTTAATCAGTTCAATGGTTGAGCTACTTCCTAACTTCCATACAGTAAATCTACCCCCTGCCTATAATCCCAAATTATTAAAAATGTTCTGTCTTGACTGCTCTGCACCCAGAGTGATGTCCAGCTGGGCCACATGCTCCTTGCTCCTTCACATGCTGGTTATGCCTCTCTGTCCTCTACTATCCTCAGACATTTTGTCTCTCCTCTCCGTCTCCTTCTTTATGCTTGGAAGATCTCCTTCTCTCTCTTTCCCTAGCCCAGGAATCCTAAAATCTTGCCTCTGTCTGTTCTGCCCTACCATTGACTGTGGTTATCTTTATTTATCAATCAGAACCAACTGGGGTTGATATGCTCAAGTGAGGACATACAGTCATCTTTGCTTATAGTTTTACTAGATTGAATATTAGCATCATTTTCATCAATTAAATATGTATAAAGAAAGTTTGAGTGGCTCTTAAACATGAAAAAATTAAATAAAATAGAAGAGTACAATTTTCCCTTGAGATTGTGCAGTGACTCTTTTTTTTTTTAAATAATTTATTTTTTCTCAAATCGTAATTAATTCACATAGGGGTTATAAACACAGAAAGGCAGGATGTGGGGAAGGGAATGACACTGGAGTGGGGCTGTTCAGGGGGAATACAGATATCTTTCAAAACCAACCGGGTATCAGCTGGGTTAAGGTTCAGGGGACAAGTCACTATGACTCTGCCTATGACTTGCTTGTCCTTATCTAAGTTGGTATTGTCTGCCAAGGCTACCTATTTACGAGGTCTATGATTACTCAGGCTTGTAAATTTCCACAAAAGCTGCCTGTTTACATTAGCTTATAGCCATCTGTTTCAATGTTTTTCCACTGAGACCCAAGACTTGGTGTTAGTACACATGTATGACAGGCCTATTGCTGATTTTGGACCTATGGTTGATTTTAGGCCTTCAGTGTGTAAGCAGGACTGCCCCTGACATCTCCCCCCTTCTCTAAGTATAGAAGGGCTGTGGCAATTCTAATCTTGCGAAGGCGGGGATAGAGGCCTGATCTCCAGTACTCGAAGGGACCTTGTAATGGCTCCGGTCCCCCTGTCGTTGTCCAGTGAGGCATGAGGGCCATACCCATCCCGATGTCTTTTTCCTGGAGAGGGGATACTTTTGACATCAACCCCTATGCAGTCAGGCTTGTCCCTCAGGGAACACAGATAGATATTTTTATCTTTTATTTATATTCCCCGTGAAGTGACTCTTAAACATGAAAAAATTAAGTAAAATAAAAGAGTAAAATTTTCCGTTGAGATTGGAAGCAGTGGGTGTTCTGCTAATTAATAAACTTATTTAGTCATTCTTGGTTTGAAAGAGATTACTGTGGGAAAACATATGATTTATTAATGTAGTGATTGATTTAATCATTAATTTAGAGACAGTAGTATCAGGAATTATAAATTTAAGAATTTTCTTAGCAAAATACAATTTGTTATTATCATGTAATATTCAGGTGTGTTTTAGGTAGTAATAATTTAGGTAGCCAGAATGTTTCTATCATTAAAACATGGTTATCTAAAAGTTATTTTTCTCAATGGGAAATACATAAAAAGCTTTTTATAAATTGTACAAATGATAGACCAAAATTTTTATAAAAGCCAGTAATATTTACATAATTTTCAGAAAAGTCTCAATCATAAACCCAAACAAGTTTGAATAACTCTGGATATGTCAGGTTTTTCAAGTACACATCCTGACTAAATACAATTATTTAAGCCAATATTTGGAAATGTTACCATGACCAAAGCAAAATAATCATTGATGAGCAGGAAAACATCACCCACCCAATTTGTCTTACAGGTTCTTTTGTGAGTCACACAATTTTGCTCGTGTAGTCATTTGAAAGATAAATAAGACGTTCTGACAGGCAAGAAGACTGTGAATTGCTCTACTTAAACATTGTATCAAATTCATATGATTACACAGCCACTGGTATAATTTTGCTTCCTTTTTTTAAAATAAGGAATATTTGGAAACTTCATATTATAGCTAACTTGTCTGAAGTGTGATAACCAGTTGCCCCATGGTTTAGTTCTGTGACATTGGAATTTCACAATGTGGCACCCTTTATTAGACAGCTATTTATGTGCATTCTTTTCATTTTTGAAATGTCCCAAAGTTGTCTATCATATGATTGAGACATATGTCAGCAAATATTTAAACCAAACTTTCCATAATTTAATTTTGCTATTAAAGTTAGTGATTTCTAGTCTGTATTTGTGCAAATACCTGATTTTTAATTTCTCACTTGTGAGATTAAGATAATGAGTCTTATATGCCTACTACTTAGCATATTTAAAATGATCAATACTTGATTATAATTTACAAATTACAAAGTGCTCTATAAATGCAAATTACTACTGACATAAAAATTGAATTTTTTTAATAGCTAGTAGGAGAGATACCATCACCACAAAGGTGGTTTTACCAGAGCAAGGCTTAGGCAATGAACTCCAGATGTGTTGACCCCTGCAATTACTTCAAATAATAGAAACTTGATTGAGTAATTTGTGCTAATATGGTGCTGTGTTCACAATCTTCTCTGAAAGAAGAAAAAATGGTTTTTAAATATATTTATTCAAATGTATAATCATGAATATTACTAAAAAAAATTGGAAGGAATATTTTATGTCTTTTTTTTTAAGAAAAGAGTTAGTAATCACTTTGGTTATAGAATTCATGTTACTATATAGAACTTTTATGAAAAAGAGAAAATATTGTGTTTAGAAAATATTGCATCAAAATGTTATTTTCTTTTTATTAATTCATGTACTAATTACATATGCATGTTGCATACATACTCCTTCCTTTTATTATGTTACATCCTCACAAATCCCTCACCCCATTAACCCCTTTCTTCCCAGATAAAAAAGGAAACCCCTTTGGGTAGCACCCTGTCCAGTGATATCAAGCTAAACTAAGTGTATTCATTCCTACTGAGGCCTGATCAGGCATTCCAGCTAGGGGAGGAAAATATTATTTTCAATAAAATAATCTTAAAAATAGAATTTCACATGCACAGGAGTATACTTTTTTCTTTGCTACTTCTATCCAATTTTTGTCTATATTTATAAATGAGAAAATACTTTGTCAAACCCATCATTATTACAAACAACAAAATATTATCCAATACTAGATAGTGGCAGACATAAAAATTAGTATTTCTTTTCAGAAAATACGTTACTCCTAGCTATTTACTATATTCTTTATCATCATCATAGTAGTTGTTGGTATTGGTTTGAAGGATCTGAATCTGGGAAGGTGATTGTCATGCCTGATCCAATTATAGGTAATAATATTACAAAGGTCAAGAATGGACTTTCATATTTAGTTTCTCAATCACTACAGGGTTAGTTTTATCTCAATAAGAGCTTTGTATAACAGGAAAGAACCTGTAACATTACAAATTGTAGTTGCAGTGAACAAATGAAGGAACAATAGAATCTGTGGAAAACCTGTACAATTTACTGGACATCACAAATTCAATTCAGGTACATTTTTTTTCTCCAAATAAGCTAGTATAACTCTGGTTTTTAGAAAAAAATCTGTGGAATTGTCCATTGTCTCTTGAAATACTTTACCGAAATAAACCAGTTGTAGTGGCCCCCTGTGCAAATCCACCAACAAGTTTCTCACCTAATGAGTAGCTCTTGATTCTTTCATGAGAAAACTTTCTATATAATGGTGTATTCTTTCTTAAATGCCTGTGAGGAAGTGTCAGAAATAGAGGAATGCATGATTCTTATATAGCATAAATTTGAGTGGCAGTCAAGTGTACTAAATTAAGACTTGATCAGTTCAGGAACCGTGTGTCTGGAACTGGATATTCACTGCATTTCCAAAGTCACTATTCTTCAGGGAAAAAAATAAATCTACACATGCACACACTCACACACACTGTCCTTAAATATGTCCCTTAAACTGTTGTACAATATGCCTTCTCTACTCTCATGAGATGGAGAACTTCATAAAATTTTTTGTATGATCCACAGGAGTCTGGAATATGATGGAGATATAACTTTCTCATATTTTTTATGTGTAAGAGTTATTTTTCTTGCAAATAGTTATACATTGATAGAAGAATTATCATAAAAATGTATGAGGATACAGAAGGATTGCGTGTACAAAAGGAGAGAGTAAATTAGTAGGAAAGACTGTGGGACAGATGAAAAGAAAAGCACAGAAAAAAGTGTCTTGATGAATCACTAACATTTTTAATGAAGTTGAAGTCATAATATCTTTTTTCTAAAACCACTGTCTTATTTACATATCCTGAAATAATTATGCTGTGATAGTGAGTGTCTACAGGCACAACATAGATACAATGACTTTAATAGAAAAGATAGTGGAAAAGAGCCTCAAACTCACTGGCACAGGTGTATATTTCTAAACAGAACTCCAATGGCTCAGGATCTAAGATCAAGAATTGATAAATGGGACCTCGTGTAATTGGAAAACTTCTGTAAGACAAAGGACATAGTCAATAGCAAGCTACAGATTGGAAAAAAAACTTCACTAACCCCACATCTGATAGAGAGATAGTATCCAAAATATGTAAATATCTCAAGGAGCTAACCACCAAGAAACCAAACAACCCAATCAAAAAATGGGATATAAGTCCAGTGATTGGGATAAATGAAATTCAAAACAAGCCTGAGATTCCATCCTAAACCAATCAGAGTGGCTAAGATCAAAGCCTCAGTTGACAGCAGATGCTGGTGAGGATGTGAAAAAAGAGGAACACTCCTCCATTGCTGGTGGGATTGCAAATTGGTACAGCCACTCTAGAAATCAATCTAGAGGTTCCTCAAAAACTTGGAAATAGATCTACCTGAGGAGTCAGCTATATCATGCTTGGGAATAATTCCAAAAGATACACCAGCATGCCACAGGGGTACATGTTCCACTGTGTTCATAGCGGCCTTGTTTGTGATAGTCAGAATCTAGTAACAACCCAGATGTTTCACAACATGAAAACAGAAAATGTGGTTCATTTACACACTGGAATACTCTTCAGCTATTAAGAATGAGGACATCCTGAGTTTTGCAGGCAAATGGATGGAACTAGAACATACCATCCTGAGTGAGGTAACTCAGACCCAAAGGGACATGCATGATATGTACTCACTAATAAGTAGATATTTGCCAAAAAAAGTACATAATACCCTGGATACAATCCTCATAACTCAAGAAAGTTAACAACCTGAAGGACCGAAGTGAGGATGCCTCAGTCTCACTCGGGAGGGAGAAGAAAGCAATCACATGGTAGGGTGAAGGAAGCAGGGACCTGGGTAGGAAAGAGGACAGGGAGGGAAAGAGGGCAATAAGATCTAGGATTTGGGGACTGAAGCCTTGAGGGCCAGCAGAAAGAATGGAAACAGGCAAACTCTGGAGATAGGAGATGTAAGGATACTCTCGAATGTACCAGAGACCAGGGAGTTGAGAGATTCTCAGAACTTGAAGGAAGGGACCGTAGATGAAATGCCCTACAATGGGGAGAGGGAAATTGTAGAGCCCACCTCCAGCAGAGAGACAGGACATCAAATAGAGGAATGGGGTTGCCATCCCACAGTCAAAAATTCAGACCCAGAATTGCTTATGTTTGAAAGAACTTCAGGGTCAAAATTGGAGAAGAGCCTGAGGGAAAGGAGGTCCAGCAGCAGTCACATATTGGAATCCAGATCAAGAGGAGGCCCCAAGGCCTATTACTGATGCTATGATGTGGTTACAAACAGGATCCTAGCATGCTGCTCTTAGAAAGGCCCAACAAGGAGCTGAATCAGATGCAGATATTTATACCCAACCAATAGATGGATGGTGACCCTTGTGGTTGAATTAGGGAAATCCTAGAGGAAGCTAAGGTGGAGGGCGACCCTATAGGAAGACCAGTAGTCTCAACTAACCAGGACATCCAAGATCTCTCAGACACTGAGCCACTAACCAGGCAGCATACACCAGCTGATGTGAGGCCCTCAATAAATACAGCAGGGGACTGCTGAGTCTGGACTCAGTGAGAGAATATAAACCTAACCCTCAAGAGACATGAGGCCCCAGGGAGTGGGGAGGTCTGGTGGGCTAAGAGTGTTTGGGGGACATCCTCTGGAGACTGTATAGGGGGGGTTATGGAGGGGAGGAAGTGTGGGATGTGGAACAGTCAGAGGGTGGACCAGGAGGGGGATAGCGACTAGACTGTAATAAAAGATTAAAAAATAAAGTAAAAATAAATACATAAATAAACAAATACATTTTCTTTAATCTAATTTAATTTCATGTGCATAGATATTAAGACTGCAATTATGCCTGTGAATCATGTGCATTCCCAATACCCACAGAGGAAAGAAGAGGGTGTTGGATCCCCTAGGAATGGAGTTATAGATAGCTATGTCCCACCATGAGCATAATTAAATTGGACTGAGTTCCTCTGGGAGACAAGCCAGTGCTCTTAACCACTGAGCAATCCCTCCAGTCCCATATATTCTTTTTGTAGAGTCAATGGTACCTGAGATCAGCTAGCTCACAGGGTGAATGACTAAAAAAAATTTCACTTTAGAGGATACATTTGTAAACAGAGGGAGTGGATAATCACCAGGCAAGGTCATTTAAGTTTACAAACAAATTCCTCTCATTACTCTCACAAGAAACAAGAGATATCCTAAGTCCTAGGTTGAGGATATTGTTGGTAATGATATGCACACTTGAAATGAATGAAAAGATGTTCATGGGAAATAGAATTACAATATATCACTGATACTAGGTACACATAATTTGTATTTTAGTATAATATTGTCCAATAAAGCACTTTTATCTTCTTTTTATAGATGTTTACATTTTCTATTGTCTGTATTTTAAATTTGGATGTTCTGAATATTTAGCCCTTATAATTATTCCATTTAAAATATTTTCTTCCATTTTTTAGTTTGTGTCTTTATTCTGATGATAGTTTCCTAGATAGAATAAAATTTCTATTTTTTTCTTATGGTTTTGGGTATGGCCAAAAGACACTTTACCCTTTTAATGAACTGAAACAATTTCCCAATTTTTCTTCTGGTACTTTTACAGTTTTATGTCTTATATTTAAATCTTAAGTCATTCTTTAGTTGAGACTTTGTGACTAATAAAAGGTGGTGGTCCAGTTTCATTATTTAAAATGTAGACATCCATTTTTGCCTGCATGATGATATCAAACAATTTCTTTTCTCTAGTTCCTGTTTCTTTAGCAACCTCAAAATTTGTTTCACAGGGGAAGGTTCTAGTCCATTCCATTAATGCTCATGTTGGCTTGTATGGCAATACCATGCTTTTTGTCTTACTTTTAAAAACCATTTCTTTGTTTTTGAGATTATAATTGCATCATTTCTCCCTTCCCTTTGCTCTTACTCATCCATCATATATACCTTCCATTGCTCTCTTTCCAACTTATGGCTGTTGGTGTACTGATAGATGTTGATATCTTTACTGGCTGGTTTTCTGTGCCAACCTGACACAGCTGGAAGTTATCACAGAGGAAGGAGCTTTGCTTGAGGAAATGATCAAAAAAAGTT